AAATTAATGCAGAACACCATGAAATTCCAAAAGGTTCATATACTTTTTCTTGCAACTGTATGAACCTAACAATTATTTGAAAGTCAGGGTTTATACCTTTGCATTATAGGTCAACCTAGTCTGTCTCTGCTTCACAGGTGGCCCTAAGGTGAAGACATGCATTACAGATGTGCTGCCAGTACTGGCAAAGATGTTGGATGGCATGAAAGCTGAACCTCTGCATTTATGTCATCGGCTGGACAAAGAAACTACAGGAGTAATGGTCTTGGCAAAGGATGAGGTGATTGCAAGCCAGGTCCAAAAGATGTTCAGGACCCGTCAGGTGGAGAAGAAATACTGGTAGGAGAAATCTTACTAATTATGAGTAAGTTTTTTTCTCATTGATAAGAACCAAGAATCTACTAAGGACTGCAGTTCTGCAGTGCCAGTTATAAGGAGAACCCAGCAGCCCTTGAGTGTTGATTACCATTGGAGAGGGCTGAAATCCCTCCCTGTTCTTTTCATAGGGCAATTTGTGTTGGAAAACCAGAGCCGGAAGAGGGGCTGGTGGACATTCCCATTGTGGAGAAAGAAGTGGAGAGCCACCAGTCACATTTCAAAGTGAGTATTCTTGGCAGTGGAGACTTGGCAATTCTGGCCACAGCATTCCACTTGGAGACCTTTGTTGTAGTCTCTGTTACCTCATAGCACTGAGGCAGATTTAGGACTAACAACCCTCAAATTAGGAAATTCAGTACAGTTGGAGTATGTTCACTGACATAGATAGCAGTTCTTGAAAGAAATGCTGTACAACTTTTAAGCATTTTCAAGACAATATTGTACTGTAGTTGCTCTGTCATAGGTTGTGGGGTGTTTTGTTTTGGGGGGAGTTGGTGCCTTCAGGTCAGTCTTGACTCCTAGCAACTGCCTGGACAAGTCCTTGCAGTCTTCTAGATAATATTTTCGGAAGTGGTTTGCCATGGCCTCCTTCCTAGGGCTGAGAGTGTGTGACTGGTCCAAGGTCACCCAGCTGGCATCATGCCTAAAGTAGGAATAGAACTCACAGTCTCCTAGTTTCTAGTCTGGTGCCTTTGACCACTACACCAAACTGGCTTTCCTGTTATATTTTTGATCTGGTGGGCACATTTGGAATTTAGAGCAAGTAATGTCCCCTAAAGGGTCCACATCTGTTCCTGCTCTGGCTACAAGCCGTATCTACAATACCCAAATAAAATAGAGTTGTAAGTGTGGATGTTCTGGGCTACTAGCTGAGAAATTCAATAGTTTTCTTTTCTCCACTCTATGCAAACTATTAATCTTCTTCATTTTTGTTCTGTTGGCTTTTTGGATATTATTAAGAGTTGATTTTGAGTCCTGTGCATCTTTGACTTAGTTGACACTTGCACCAAATTATCGTGTATCGCAAGAAGACAGAAAGTTGCACAAAGTGCGCCGGAACAAAGATGCTCATGTGGCAGTGACCCGATATCGTGTGCTGAGTAACTGGTCTACTTGTTCCCTCCTTGAATTGGAACCAGTCACAGGTAAGAATTTGCATATCCCTTTCTTTGTTGTTTCTCATTGCCAATCCTGTTCTGTAATATTTGCTGTTAAGAAATATAAGATCAACCCCCACAGCTTCCCTGGGCATCTGAGAACATGATTTTTTTTATCTTGTCGCTTGTTCCTTCCACTGAATCTAAATGAAGTACTATCAGATAGAAGCCTTTATTATTATTTTTTTATTTATCCAATATAATAGAACATCTACACCATTAGAACAATAAGTAATAAAATGATAGGTACTGCAAACACATTAAGGAATTATATGGGAGAAGAACAGTAAAATAAGAAAATATAAAGGCTATTTTCCTAATATGATACAACGCTTAAGGTCAAAGCTAATAGCAAAAGTGCCTGGTAGAAGAGTGCAGTATACCTGATATATCCCTTTAGGGAAGACATTGCACAAGACATTGTACTATTAAGCCATTGAGATCTCTCTCAGTGCCTACTAAAGTTTGGATATCTAGCTGCTTTAACCAAGCAAAGCTCAATTGCCTCAAGGTAAATTGCATATGAAAGTCATTCTATATAACTTATGACCAAAACCAACGAAGCAAGTATACTTGATGGTTATGCCTCGTATTTCCTCCCATACTTTGTTCATTATACAGGAGTGAAGCACCAGCTTAGAGTCCACGTGGCTTATGGTTTAGGTTGCCCAGTCCTTGGGGATCACAAGTATTCTCACTGGAACAAACTAGCACCACAGGTAAGAGGGGTATTAAGAAAAACGTTGATGGATATGGCCGTGAGCTAAAATCCAGGAAGATGGTAGGGTGAAATGGGGAGGCAGAAGAGTCAGTAGGATTCCAAAATAATATTTTGTTGGATTCAACATAATTGGAAATGCAAGACGGATCATTGTTTTTTTGCTTTTTATATACATATAGAAGCTGTCTCTGGGTACACTGAAGAAACTTGGTTTGGAACAAGCCAAAGCCCGTTACCTCCCTCTCCATCTGCATGCCTGTGAGCTCACCTTGCCTGAAATAAACGGCAACGGGGAGCAGAAAATCCACTTGTTCTGCAAGCCGCCCATCTTCTTCAAGCGCTCCTTAAAACGGCTAAAACTAGAATTTCCTGAATCAGAAAAAAAATGAACTAAGAGTGATTAGGTATGCTACTTTGTTGATGGAACTCCTTTTCCTGAAGCCATGTGAGGGTCCCATGAAAGGTAAAGCACCTGGAGCCTGATGCTCCTAGGTGTGAAATCACAACATGTGCATCTCTCAGAAGCTTGCAGCCCTTCAGAGGAAACCCTCCTGCCTGGCAGCTGAAAACAGAACTGAGGAACGGCCATAAGTCTCCCAGGGCCTGTATGATGGGTTTCAGATGAAGCTGGGACATTTGGAAGGATTCGGCAGCTTATATGACCTGCTCCAACTGGAATAACAGTTAATTGGGCACATTTTTTCAGTATTTGGGAGTCAACGTGTATCTGACATCAGCCAGACAGAGTTAGCTATTCTGCCTAAATAAAGGATGTGGCCTGTGCTGAGTGAATATGATCTAATTGGAGCAGAGATATTGGGGAGAGGAGAGGAACACTCAGAAGTACCTTATGCTTGGGACATCTCTTAACATCTAAGAGATTGAGCTATGGATTGGGGAGTTCTTGGTTCACATCTAATGTCTGTCATGAGCTTGGAGGACAGCCTTAGAAAAGTCAGTCACAACTTTCTCTCCCACCTACAGCAGCACTAGCATACAAAGCTGCTTTATCCGAAGTCTGACAATTGATCTACTGTCTAACCCAGTGTTATCGGTGCTGAATGGCAGCTGTTTGTCAGCTGTGACTGGGGAGGCCAAGGATTGAACACACTTTCTGCATGCAAACTCTGTTCTTCCACTGAGTTACATCAGTTATTTCCCTAATGCTAGAAGTATCTTACACAGGCCTCATGAAGATTGCAGATAAATAGCCTACACAAAATATCTTACATATTCTCAAATATTAATAGGTATTACAAGGCTTTAATGCATCACTGAAGGCTGTAGGTTTCTTTTGTCCTTTCAGTTTCCAGGTACAACAGCCAATCTTATTTTGCTTTCATGGATTTTTCTGGCTATCACATTCCCTAAACCAAGGGAGCAGAACTTCCATTAGCACTTGGGCCCCACTAGACTCTGTGTGCCAGGTTGAAGGCTCCATGCTGAAAATGGACAAGGCCAGGACCTATTCTGGGAAGATGTTTTAAGAGGTGAACAGGTTTGCTACTTGCTGGCAAGTCTTCATGAACATATTTTGCCTGGTAAAACCCTTCAAATCCACCCCTTCAAAAAAATCATATGCTTTAAAGTATGGTGGATTTTTTTCTTTTGCATTATGTGAATGCCAATGGGCCATGCTCCCCCTGTGTTCCCTGCTAGAGCTTTTATTTTTTAAGCAAAACATCAGCTGATTTGGCTATCTGTAGTATGAACATACATTGAAAATAGGAAGTAGCTCATTGAAACAATGAATAAAGAACCTAGAGACTGGCTGATGAGTTATTTCTGATATCTTTTTGATTCCCACATTTTCCCATGTATTACTTTTTGGCATAATATACCATGTTATGTATAAGCTGCCTTTCTGAACGTAGCATTACAAAAACTTCAACCTTCCATCCTATTTGCTTTCAGCTACCCCTCATTTTTTTTCTAGTGAAGAGGGGACCACAGTAGAATGGTGGTATTTAGAGTTACAAATCTAGGGAAATAAGATAACTTTCAAGTTCCATTACTTAATCTCATGGCTGCTAGCTAGCAGAACTGTAAAGGGTATTTTTATTACAGGAATTCTGAAATGCGGAATGATAATTTTATTTATTTATTTATTTACAGTAGAGTCTCGCTTATCCGACTTAAACGGGCCGGCCGAGCGTCAGATAAGCAAAAATGTTGGATAACACACAGTAACGAATGAGTGCGGTAAAAAAAAAAAACCGATCCGCTACGCCTGTTGCAATCGATTTTTGCGTTGTGGCGCCACCGTCAGGAGCAACAAGAAAGTACACTCACACTTGCAAACAAGCAGCACACTTTTCTCATCGTCGATTTATGCATGTTTTTTTTAGGGGCGTCAGATAAGACGGAATGTCGGATAAGCGAAGGTCGGTTAAACGAGACTCTACTGTATTTATATTTCAAATTTGTCACCGCCCATCTCACTGCAGAGTGACTATGGATGGTTTACAGTAAAAGCAATAAACATTAAGTAAAACAGATAAAAATTAATTAAAATAATTGCACAATATTGGGGAATACCAAATTTCATAGGCATTAGCTACTCTCAAAATGAGTAAGTTTTTTTAGGTTCCCAGTGTCTTAAAAAATGTTAAGTAAGAACCAAAGTCTTTTTGTATAGGTACCCATTCTTAATTCTAAAGGATGGCCTTGAATATATCCAGTAGCAGTAATAATAAGATTTTGCTCAGGTCTTCTATAAAGTGATCTCACATTAAAGTCATTAAAATAATTTTGAATGGTTCTTACAAATACTGGATTAATGCATTCTGCTTGATTGCATTTCTGAAAAAATATTTTGAAGTCCACTAAAGAAACTTTGTTAAAGGATTAGCACAATATATAAATCAGAAGTATTTCAGGGGGAAATAGGATACAATACTGATTTATGTGTAAAGGAAGTTGTTCAGTTTGATTGAGGGACATAGGGAGAAGGGAAGAAAAACGCTATGCAATTCTTGAAATTTCAGAATCATTTGGCTTTATAGCAAATAGGGAAGAAAGCATTGCAGACTCGCTTCACTAAGCCACAGAAATAATATTCTTAGGTGTTCTGAGTGGATTTCTATCTCCTACTATCCCCTTTGAAAATCTGAGCTGTTGGCCAGCCATTTTGATATCCACCCCTGAAGGTTTCTGGATCTGAAAATCAAATACACAAGCCTACCTCCTTACCAGTGGTTGCTGGAAATAACATCTGCTTATGAAAGAGGGAGATAAAACCACAGGACCCAGCCTTACCATGCTAAGCCTGTGGCCGGCCAAAAACAGTGGAGCCCTTACCAATCACAGCATACTCCAGTAAACTGCTCTATTTCTGGGCTGAGGGTAGTTGCAGAGAACAGGTCGCCTTGTAATTATCATTTTGTTTAGCAAACAGCCAAGGCGGTCATTTACAACTGTCTGATGCTTAATTCCCCATGGAGAAAACTTAAGCGTACATTGTCAAGCCACCTCCTGCTTCAGATGTTGCTGAGCACTTGTAGAAGCCATAGCTGTCTCTTGTCTTCTGTGTGCACACTTGGCCCCTTTAGTACAGAACCATGTCGATTGCATACACGGCTGGCAATTACATGCTCTCAGATGCATTGCTTCCAGATCCAAGCGGCTCCAGAGCAAAAAGACTTCACTTGGAGCTGCCGTGTGACCGCATCATGAAGTTTGTCACCGTGGGGCTGCCGCTGTTTTTGGTCTCTCTCATGTTTGCACAGGAATTTTCCACTGGTATGTCAATTTATTATTCTTTAAAGCAGGGGGTAGGGGGCCACAATGTTGTTTCTTGAGGACTCCTTCCAAAGAGCTGAGGAGACACGGCCAGTGATATGGTGATGCCAGCAGAGGGGGCAAGGACAAAATTTTCAGCCTTTTTTAATGCGTTTAATGCAAGCTGAGTACGTTGATTTGAAATACACTTTGATATTTGAGTTTAGCATTTGCAAAGTCAATATCGTAGTTTTGTATTTGAAACCTTGAATTGGCCTCTCTGAATTCACTGGGACTCCAATACGGGGCGGAACTATAAAGCACTCACATTCAAACCACACCTTAAGCTCAAAGTAGATTTCACATTTTATATATGAAATTGTAAGGTGTGGTTTGAATGTGAGTGGCAACACTGGAAATTTTACCTTAGTACACAGTGATTAAGAAAACATGTTGATCTTCAGCCTGAGTGATGCTTCCATATAGGCAAAATTAGATATTTTAGAGTCAGACTGTTAAAAATCATTCCCTATGCAGTGTTACATTGCAGGACATAATAGCTGATTGCAGTTGTTCTTCAACCAGGGGCTCTCCAGCCAAGAAGGGGAGTTCTGGGTTGGCAGTCCCAACAGATCTGGAGAACACCAAGTTGGAATAGCCTGGGGAGATCCAGCTTCAAATTTCCACCCAGCCATGAAGCTCACTGGCTGGCCGTGAAACAACCACTGCTGTCTTTCAGTGACACCTTTGTGATGCAAAAGGTTGTGATGCAAAGACTGAATCCTCATATGTGTATCTTGAGTTCCTTAAACACAGAGAAACATATCCAAATGTTTCTTTCTCCGAATAAGTCCCATTAAGTTCTGTAGCTGCAATTCAAGGTATTTTTCCTTGGAAGCAAGCCCCATTAAACACAGTAAAGTTTCATTCTGAATAACCAGCACTGCGCTGAATAAGAGAGGATACAAAAGTACCCATTCCAGGAGAAGCACAGTGTCTCAGTTGATAGTGTGTGCCAAAAACAGGATCATCTGTGTGTGGCTTTGCAGTTAAATGAGGTTTCATGGCTGCAGTTCACAGCCTGCCTCAGGAATTTACTTCTGGGAAAGAATGCCTATGTGAGGTTTAGTTGATCCAGATGGGATAAACAAAACTTATTTCTCCCTTGGGCTTGCCTCAAAGCTTGTAAAATGTTTTTAGGGATTCTTGATTTATTTATTTTTAGCACATCCAGCCTACAGAGATGATGAACAGAAAAAGTTTAGGACAACCACCAGTGACAGCATAATGGGCCCCTTGTCCTAATTAGTAAAAAAATGGGGAGCAGTTTGACCATGAATGTTGGCTTGGAGAGAGTAAGGTTGGGCACAGGTCTCATCTGGATTGATACAAAGGCCATCCTTGCTGGAGGTGGTTCAAAACACAGCAGAGAAGCTCTGTTTTGCTATAGTAGAGGAAGCTGATGGACGTTGCAGTACTGGAAATGAAGGTGGAGATGAACACAGCTCCCTTTCTCTGTTCTTATAATAGGATCCCAGATCAGTTGCTTCTCTCCTAGCAACTTCACAGCCGAACAATCTGATTTTGCTGATGCCGTGTGCTGGGACTCCTTGCTTCGCTATGATCCTGAAACTGCAGGAGATGCTGCATCCAAATCCCTCTGGGTCTTCAAGGTATTGGGGTGGAGAAGAACACCATCTGTAACTCTTGGTTGTATGCAATCTAGAGCCCAGGGCATAATCTGCAGTGTCCTACCCTTCAGCTGACCACAGTAGTCTCTTCTAGGAGTTTTTCTTTCTCATTCTCTTCTAGGTTTTCCCATATTCTTTGCTGGTCATTGCAGTGGCCATGTATCTGCCTTATCTGCTGTGGAAGTATGCAGCTGCCCCCTCACTTCACTGCGATTTGCTCTTCATCATTGATGAGCTAGATAAATCCTACAATCGTTCCATCCGCTTGGTGCAATACATGGTGGACCTTCAGCACACGGAGAAGGATCCAGATGATTTTTGGGAGGAGTTTGACCTGTAAGTGATAGATGTGTGATTTGCTTGCTAAAGGACCCAATTTCCATTCCCAGTATTTTCACTTGATAATAACAGGTAACAAGAGATGGGGGAAAGGCCAGGGAAGCATTACATTGTGAATTTCTCCCTGCACCCCTATATAGCAGTGCTTATTCTTGGGGTTATTCACATGGAAAAGTAGCATGTCACACAGAAGTTCTAGTTTATTCTTATTTTTCTCTTTTTTCCCCCAAGGGCTCGCAGTGAGCGGTACTTTGAGTTCCCTCTCCTGGAGAGGTACCTGACTTCCAAGCAACGTTCCCATTACTTGATTGTCATTTATGTATTGAGGAACCTCTTCCTCCTCTTTCTTCTTGCTGTCAGCTGCCTCTATCTTGGATACTGTCATGTTCAGGTGTTTTTTCAAGACAAATTCAGATGCTCAATCAAGGCAGGGCTCCTAGGAGAAGAACCTGGTGTTCCAGATTGGATTTCTTGCAAGTTAGTTTTCTTCTCAGTTTTCCAAGTTACAAGCATCTGTCTTGGGTGTGTGTACATCCTTCTGGGCCCTGTTGTCCTCTACCACCTGCTTCAGCTGTGTCAGTGGGACAAGCGGCTTCTGTCCATTTATGAAATGCTGCCAGCATTTGATCTTCTCAGTAAGAAAATGCTGACTTGCCCATTTAATGATCTCAACATCATCTTGCTCTTCCTGCGGGCCAACATCTCAGAGGTCAAATCTTTCAGTAGACTGAGTGTACTGTGTACTCTGAAGGACATTTCACCCAACAAAGAAAACATAGACACAGTTGTAGATTTTATGACTCTCTTTGCTGGCTTGGAGCTAGCAAAGCCAAAGCGTCATTCCAATGCCAATGAGAATTTGCTTCATCCTGACAATGAAATTGGTAAGTAACACCAACTGAAAGCTGTGCTGAAATCTTGTTTCTCAGGGTTTTTTTTTTAAATGTCTAAAACATATTTCTGCTATTCTAGTTCATTCTCAAGGTGTATGCTTTTGATTATATATCTGAATCTCTTTTGTTGCAAGGAAACAGAAGGTAACCATGTAAATTGTTGCTCCCCTACTTTGCAGCCTCCCTGGCTGCTCCCTTCCAGATCTGCAAAAATCTCCATTGCAGAAGTTCCTTCATGGTGTCTTTGGAATAAAATAAAAGCTTGGGAAGGAAGGAGGCTGAAAGCCACTAGAGAAATGACTATATATGACTCATAATGCAAAAACATTATTTTGCCATTTCATAACTAAATTGTACACGAAAGCCCTGCATCTCCATCTAGAGACCTTCACCAAAATGTCTCTACCGGAGGAAAAAAGGAGAGGAAGTTTATTTTCCAAAAGATTAAATGAGAATCTAAGGTTCAGTTCCTGTCTATATCTAGTTCAGTTCCTGAACTATCACTTAGTTCAGAAAAGTTAAGAGACCAAGTCCATTTTAAGAAAAACAAATAGTATGTTTTATTCCAAAAGTATTTTGGATTGTAATCTCTTTTCAGGGAACACTCTAAAGTATAGTAGATATGATCAGAGCACACACATTTTCTTGGTCAAGGGTTCCTCTTGACCTTTGAGATAACTCTCCAAAAGTAGAGATGGGACTAGACAAAATAGTATTTTATCTTTATTTGAATTACAAATTGTATCTTTTCATTTCTTCTGTCCTATTAAAAAGTCCATGTTGGTAACAATGTTGAGGTGACAAAGAAGTGCACTGATGGCTTTTGGATGCCACTGCAATCTGAGGTTGTGCATTTTTAATATAAACCAAGGTGTTATTTTAATCAACAGCTGTTGTCATCGGATAGGCCTCATAAGTCCTCCTACTTTTGTGGAATTCTGGGAATTTTCTTTCCTTGGAAGGGGAGAGGGGAATCCTATGCAATAACATTCCATAACTCCAAGGGGAAAAGTCATTTTCCTTTCCCAAAAGCCACAAAGTTTATGCTTATTTGCTCTCCCATTGAAGGGGGAAAAATTTACCACTCCCTTCTACCAGGAAAAAAAGTTGAATAGTGGTAGCATTTCTCAAGCCTTTTGAGCTCCATGCCTGAACATCTCCATTGCTTCTCAGGAATTCACCATAAGGGAATCTGTATTACTGTTATATACTACCTGCATGTAAAACACAGCAGTGTGTGAATTGCAGGATCTTCAGTTCTGAGGCCAATGTAAAATGAGACCCACCATGCTTTTTCTAAATACAGACGCTTGAGAACTGTGCTGATCTTGGCCTTTGGCATGCTCTGCCCTATGAGTCTGCTCTCACCTGCTCACGGGAGAAAATCTTACAGAAAATGCTATTTTTCTTGCACTTGTACATTTTTGAGGAGATGAGCAGCTAGATGATGTCTGCTGTTCAGTTGACTGTCCCTATGGGTAAGGAAATTCTCAGTTCCACGAAACCGATGATTTTCCAGGATTGAGGAAAGGTAGTCTGCGCAGCTTTCCTCCAAGTGGGTTAGATGACAGCCTGGGGAGGTCATTGTGTCAGTTTAGGTCTTGGACTGATAGAGGGAAGACTGAGTTTCAAGTCAACACCTAATCATCAGAGCTTTCTGGGCCACATACTTTCAGTTCAATCCAGCTAACAGGGTTGTTGTTTATGGGGATGTCACTGGAGAAATGAATCTGATATATCCCACCTTCAACTCCTGGAGGAAAACAGTTCAAATGCCTGAATTACAACATCCAGTTCCCAGAACCTTCTGCCAGTCAAAGAACCGCTGCATCGTTTTAATACAGTTCTTTCTTTCTTTCTTATGCCAGACATGAAACCTGCCTTGGAATCCAAAGAAAACTAAGTCAGTCACGGGCCTGATGCAGCAGTAAGGAGCAGAAGAACTGGAACTGGTGAATAGCACTGAGCGTAGAAAAAGGCAACCAGTACTTTTCCTTCCTGTGTGTCCTTTTGGTCATCTTCTGTTTCTTTTTGTTGGGGCACTGTGTGTCCATGAACACTGCTTGTTTTCTGCTACTACATCCGTGGGTTTCACCCTTATAATAAATACGCAGGTCTCTTAATTGCAAGTTACACCTCTGCATGATTTTATAGCCTGACGTTCTTATAAGGCGAGATCGGTATTTTCTCGATGGTACCTGCCAGGCGAGGCTTCAACACCTCTGGCCCTGCAGATCTCTGCTACTTTCCAAAAGCTTTGGCCAGATACTTCATTTTAAAAGATATAATGTTGTATTTAACATACATGGACTTTTTTTATCTCACATTTTCTCCTCTGAAGTCACTGAGCAGTTTATATAAAAAAATTAAAACTCATGCATTTTTAAAATAGTGGGTGCACAACATCCATGGAGGTAACAGTTTGAAATACACATTAATTCCTTTAAACAGGAAAGTGAAGCTTAAAAGCTAGTTGAAACTGATGAGCTGAAACATCTTTCCAATTTTACACAACTTCAGATAACTGATTTAAGATTATATTCTTCAAACTTTGCACCATCATCATAAACACCAGTGGCTAGGTTCACAGATCTTTATTTATCCATTGTTTCTTGCATAAAACTACAATCAGCTAGATAAGCCCCCATTTTTAAAAAATGGTTAGTGTAAATAACACCCAAGCAAAGCCGAACAAGCCCCATGATCGCTTAAATACAACCAATGAACGAGGCTCTAGTACTCGCCTATTTGACTTGTCAGAGCTGTTCAGCAGGTTCAATTAAGAGCGAAGTATTCCAGAGGAAATTCTCTGGTCCTAAATTATTTATGGTTTTAAATATTAGGGGCTGCGGGTTTTGGCAAGGGAATGTAGTTGGTGCCCTCAATCAGTCCTGAGTCCTGGAGACTGCAGAGACTTCTCTCTGAAAATGTTTTCTTGGCATCATTTTTGGAAGTGGTTTGCCCTTGGCTTCTTCCCAGGGCTGACAGAGGGGGACTGGCCCAAGGTCACCCAGCTGGCTTTGTGCCTAAGATGGGACGAGAACTTGTGGTCTCCCAATTACTAGCCTGTGCCTTTAATTATGACACCAAACTGGCTTTCTTAATAAGACTAGCATTTTAAACTGATCCTGGAAAGAAACTAAGACAGAAATCAAATACATTTAAGAGTTAATGCTCTTCTCTTCAGCATTCAGTAACAGTATGGGTGTTATGTTTTGGATGGATAGTTTCCAAACTGTTTTTAAAGGCAGCCACATATGCAGATTGCTGCATAGGAATAGTGAATTATAGCAGGGGCAAGTAACACTAACAAGGAGGATCAGTCGTCTAGCAAATCCATTATAGGATCTCATGGGTAACTGGTGTGAACAGCCTTCAATGCTCAGAGTGGAAAGGCAAAACGTAAATCAACATTACAATACTGAGGGAAAGGTGCAATTTTCTGTAGCTTACGTTAATTACATTCCTGTGTAAGGTATCAAAGCATAAAGGCACCGAAATTGTCTAAGAAGAAATTGTATGTGCAAATTGACAAAACTCACTACTTAGTTTTCTCTTTTTTGTATAGAGAATAAGAGCTTGGACTTAGAAGAGTATAAAAGAAAGGAACAGAAGAGTGTTATCTATAACAAGGAGGGCATATTTAGGGAGGGCAAGAACTGCAGAGTAGGTGATGAAAGGTCAGGATTGTCCCTCTGTATCTAAAGCCAGAAATCCTTTTCTCTTAAGGCTTTTTGCAAATCCTTAAAGCATTTTGCACGTAAGTCTGCTTGGAAGCATCCTGAATGCATCTGTATTTGCCTAGCCCTTGACAGAAAGAGGATGCTGGATCAAGCTGATCCAAAACGTTTCTTACTTCTTAGAGCCTTCACATTATTAGAAGCAAGACTGAAACTTAAATCTGTGGTCTCAACTGTCTTTATACAATTCCCGCCAGGGTGAATGATTGAATATTCAAATTTCTAGGCAAGAGTGAGTTATTTTAATTGAGACCACTTAAACCAGAAAGAGAACTTGTAGTTTTTAATCATGGGTGGAAATCATACTTCCAATTTTCTGTTGCAGATTATTTCCTGAACAAAAGAAATGCACACTGACAGGTACGACAATGAAAGTATAACTCATTCGCGTTTATATCATGCAGGACCATCATCCAAAACATTTATCCATGCAATCCATAGTAATCCAAACACCTATAGATTTCTGGAACCATAAAAGAGGAGCAATTATAAAACCAATGATTTTTGTCTGGCTCTGTGTGTACACTTGTAAAAACAAAAGCAAGACGCTCTATAGGTCGTGCTCCAATTTAAGTGCATACAGTGTCTGGAGTTTACTCCCGAATATGCATATAAGTGACTAGGTTTTGGTAGTAAACCCTCCATATCATGAAATTCCAATTGCTAGGCAACTGTCCATGTTCTTCTGGACAGAAAACACTCACTGCTTGCACATTAACTACACATACATGTGTGTTGAATCACTGCATAATTTTGAATGAATGAATTCAAATGATGAATAATTTTTCCCTTGGAAGTTTTGCATAAAATTTGGGGATTAATTTGAGATGCCTGCCAGACACTTATAGATTCATTTTCACAGAATGATTATATAGACTTAACATATTTCTTGCTGTTGCTACAGATTTCATTTTAAAATAGGTATTTTTTTATCTACTGTAAAACTTTCCACTGAATTAAGTATGATTTGATTTTTTTTTTTAAATTGAAGTTCACACACACACACCTAATTTAGGAAACAACCAGTCTAAACCATGGACTTCAGAAACCTTTCAGCTTACTTAAAGTAGATCCCAATCTACATTCAGTCCACCCTTGTTGTAGGTTACTCCTATTCTACCACGGGGGGGCAAGAAGATCAACTCAGCAGTGACAGCCATTCTACAGTAAGGATGGGTGGAAAAGTCGCTTGGTTCATATTTAATTATGAACTTAATTTTGCATTGTCAAATCAAGAGACAAGCTGAAACTCACCTATCCTTTGAAGTATCAACTTCTCTGAATTTTGCAAAGTTCATCAATTTATAAAAAGGGTATTGGGGACATATGCACAAAAATACCAACATTAGTGTAAACAGTGTTGTTGTTAGGAAAAACCAATTACATAAATACATACTTTAGCTCAAATTGCAAAATTATTGGGCAAATGTAAAGAAAAAAATACAAATTTGGATGCAAGCTTTAAAAAAATACCTAACATGGAAATAGGACATTTGTAACTGATAAGTCAGTGAAACTAAGAATCCATAACACACTGAAACTGGCAGATTCACCCATCTGTATTCCATAACCCAATGCCTGAAGTTAATTTTCGAAGAGCAAAGCTCAAATAATCTCTACCATCTGGAATCCTCTAGCTGATATAAAACTAGGATACACACATCAAATATCTATCATCCCTTACCCTCAGTCTGGGTTATTTAACACAGATCAATCTACTCTAAATCAAAACATTCAGAAGAGGAATAAAGCAAGCCATTGTTTCTTATACATTATCGGGAAACCTTAGGCATCTGTCTAAACAGCATGCCCCACAGATGACACTTCTGTACATTTACTCAGATCTAGGCAACAGCAATATAAAACAATTCTCATTTTCTACTCTGGTTAACACAACCAGATCAATCCCTGCTTGAATGCAAAATGCTCGCAGGTTGTTCCTCTAAAGCAATGTTTCTCATCCTTAGCAACTTTAAGATGCACGGACTTCAACTCCCAGAATTCCCCAGCTGGCATGCTCGCTGGGGAATGCTGTGAGTTGAAGTCCACACATCTTAAGGTTGCCAAGATTGAAAAACACTGCTCTAAAGCAATCATACAATTCAGCCCTACGCAAGTGAGGAAGTCAAGCTGATCCAAACCCAGTACGGGGGAAATATCCATAGTTTCTGGCAGGAGCCAGGGATTATGCCTGGGAAAAACATAATACTTCTAAGTTCTTGTTTTTTGTAAAGTAATACTGTGCTTTTAACATAACATGTCATATTCAAAGGTTTTCTTTTTTTCTTGTAAGAATTATTCGCTACAAGTCGTAGTACAACTTACTATAATTCTGGAATAAAATGAAATCCAAGACCCCTATTTTAATCTAGAAGCCAATAAACTTATCAATAGTTCACTCCAGGGCAGACAACACACACAATCTAGGTATTGCTATAATGCATCTGCCAACATCTCTCCCCACTCACCATGCTTCCTAAGATTGCCATGGGTTGAAATCCAGCAACATCTGGAATGCCATAATTTGGTCACTCATTTTAGCACAAAGCTGTGGCTCAATTAGGCTTACTCCTGTAACAGTTGCATAGCGGTGGGGGTGGGGGGTGGGGGGAGAATTTTGAGAGTGTTTGCTCCCTGGTTTCCCTATAACAATCCTCTAATAGGAGACAAGAGAAGAGCGAATGGCTGGATTAGTACAGCGTCTTGCAACTGATCCATCTAACCCATATCTTTACTTGGGAGCTTGGCTTGCTCAATTCAGAAGGACTTGGGTTTAAACATGCACTGGAATGTCAATGTTCCCAGAGAAGTCTTTTATTGGTCACCCACCATGCCTTGTCAATCAGAATCCTGGCTCTCTTGGTTGTGTGCCCAGTGTGTCCAGGTAACCAGGGATTGCTTTAGAAGTAGTTTATTTGATTGCTAGTGACATATTTATAAAGTAACTCCTGTTATTACGGCAGCTCAGGCAGGTAGCAAGAGCAAGAATCGCCAACATCTGATCCACCCTCCCTACTATGACCTTTCTGGCAAGTAAGTGACTGGGTTCCTCATTTTAAAATTCTTCTCTGCAATCATCAACCTGAGAAGTTTACTGTGTTAAGAAAAGTAAGCTGTAGCGGTGCTCTGCACTTTCTTTTTTCTGTACTCTGGTCTGCAGGATAAGCTGTTGATCCCTCTTTCTGGTCTCAACTCACTCACAGCCTAATCCATGCAGGGTTACTGTGGGAAAATGTAATGAAGGGAGGGGCAGGCAATGCCTGTAGATTGTAAATGGGACACAGTTGGTATTCACAAGGCCATTCAGACCAGGCGTAGCGCAAGCCCCCTATGCCATCTGTACAGGTTGGGTTCTGCAGAGTTACCGAGTGGGAAGAGAATGACACAATGGCTGCTGGTTTCCAATTGCACGTTCCCTGATCAGTGCAACATACCTGCAAAAAGGCAAGAGAAAGCCATCACTCCATGATATAGCCTTTTTTTTTTTTTTTGCAGATTCTGCATCATTCAAAGCAGCAGCTGCTGAGGGCTTGGAATAAGTTTGTGAGAAAGACTAAGCAACAGGTGTTTAGTCCTTGCTACTCCCCTGCCCCCATAATTTCCCCCCGTCTAAATCTCTTCCCTTTAATCTTGATGTTTCTATTAATCTCACTGGGGAAAAGATACAACACTGACGTTCTGTGTTAAGGTTTAAGAGAGCTTGTGCAAGAAAATGTATTATTATAATTCATTAAACTTTCTGTAGCTGAATGCCTCTTAACAAGATGACAAGTAGATGATCCTTTAATATGTTGCTTCCTACCCAGCACAAGCTAGGTGGACAACGCCCTCAGAATTTGGACTGAGATCCCCTCTAGGAATCTTCTGTCCTTCTGGTGCTGTTTCTTCCCTCCTCTACCTCTTTTCTTTCTTTAACTTTTAAAAAGGGCATGTATCTGCATTCATACATATGGGCTTAGCAGTTACATTGAAATTGATGGGAAGCAGAACATAGTTCAAGGCATAGAGAACCCTTCTCCACCCTGGTATCTACCAGATGTATTGGACACTAGCTTCCATAATCCTGAGCCAACATCTCCTGTCCCATCTCTTACCTCAAAAGCTTTGCTGTCCATATGACGCAACTGAATATGTTCTTCAAAGGTGATATTAAGAAGCCTATGGGTTTCATTCACTTGCACTTTCTGAGGGTAGGGACCTTGGAAGGTTATGCTTTTCTCCCCATAAGCTATTGCCAGTGCTCCAAGGTGCAACCTGTAGGCCACAGTCCGCTTATCTCGGGGATGGATGCTGAAGAACAAAGAAAAGGGATGAAAGGGGACAATTGGAACTAAGAGTAATTTTTTTCAGTTCTCATATTTTAGAAAGTTATCCAACTTCCAACCTACAATATTGCAAGTGAAAGCTGCAAGAAAAGGTGGCATTTCATGAAGGACTGAGGAACTCTGAATGGATCTCCATGTCAGCCAAATTGCTTCTTGAGCCCATCTAATGTTGTTACCTGCCTTGTCTTTTTCTTCCTTGCAGTCTGCCATCAATCTCTCTTCCTCACTTCCTGCTCTCAGCACTGAGATCCAATCTCAGTCTTGAGGCATTATAAACAATAGTGCAGCATATTTCCTTTCCCCCATGGGATAAAACCCATTTCATCCGATGATGAGAACTGTAGTCCACAACAGATTGTGCTTAAAATGGCCCAAGAGCTTTTGGTAGTTTTGCTAGGGCAGACAAACAGAATTACTTTTTGGAAACTGTCAATTAGCGCTATTTACTAGATGGCCCACTCCTGTTTCTGATCAACAGACTGGAACTCCACCCCCTTCTTTCAATCAGCCTTGGTTCACCCTCCAAATCAATGCCACTGTCTCCTGCTCTGTTTCCCCATCCATCTTTTTGTCCTCCCACACACGCCTAACTTCATTTTCTTCATACATGCCACCTGCTTGTTTCTCCCTCTCCCTACGATGCTGCCATCTTTGGTTCCCTCTACCAAGAATGATACAACCACAATACAATATCAGTCTCTGCAGAAAATAGAAACATTTTTTTTAATGGAAGAAAACTTGCAGGAGAGTAGAGGATAGATTCAGCAGTTTTAAAATGTACCTGCCATAAGGAGATTCATCATCACCGAGATCTATGGTAACAGCCATGAAAGTATTGGACATTCTCTTATTAGGGACATAGCCATAGTCTGCAGTTTGATGCCATCGAATACGTGGAAATTTGTCATTTAACTCCACCTGGCGATCTGTACATAACTGCAACACAGGGAAGCTGGTAAAGAACAGAGATCTTCAAGAAAGGGTACCCACAGCCACAGATTTCACAATGTATTTGTCATGCTGCTCAGTTCCTACTTAAACTGAAAGACCCTGATACCCACCATGGACAGAACAGCCATGGAAGATCTGATCCTTGCCCCCACCCACCATCATTCACTCAGTTATGGTTGTAGAAACATACGCAATCTGAGGATGAAACAATCCATAGTTGGGGAATGATATTCCACCAAACAAATGGCCCTTCTTGGTCCAAAAGGCACAAAATTCTTGGGTTTTGCACAATAAGAGCAGCAAGTCGGAAAATCAAACCTTTTGTATAATTTCACTGCCTTAACATTAACATCTGCAGCCATCCTCAACATATTGTCTTTCACATGTACTGGATCAGCCCTTATAGTTCTCAAGAGTAAGAATTATAGGCAGGGAAATGGCATGCTGTTTGAAGAATTATGAGAATTGAAGTCCAATGCCAAACTGTGGAATGATAAAGCAGTGGCTTCTTAAAACCATATGTGCATTACAAGAGACCTAATGGCTAAGGTTGTTGCTTAACAGTTACAAATGCTGTTGCACTGTTCTCTATGGATGACATATAGACAGACAGGGGTTGAAGTTTGTGGTCCTACACAGTGTGTGTGGATTCATGCATCACAATGAGTCATAATCAGTTTGTTTGGTTTTGGCTGAGCCTGATGTGTAAATCTAGTCATGAGCTTGGTGTTACATCTGAACCAGCCCACTGACTTTTTCAATAAGCTATGGTTAAAACCAACTACAACTTAAAGCAATGTATGAATCCAGCCAATACTTGGGAGAGAAAAGAATGCATCTGGAAATATGAGCAAATATTTATCACTGATTAAGGATTTCAGAAATAACCAGGAATAGAAAAGGTCTAAGGTTACACCTGACTGATTTAGCAAATTGCCACTTTTCTACATATATCCCCTGCATTTTATGGTACCAATGAACCAGCCCAACACTCACATTAAAAACATGAGATCAGGACCTCTATTTTGATAGGACGGTTCTTCATCTTGAAAAAGGTGACACAAAAATTTTAAGAGACAGATTTAAAGGAGTCCAAATAAGCTGTTTAGAAGTGGATTTCCACCATACACTTACCTGGACAAAGCCGAAGGGAAAGTCCCGGTTGGTTTGCCCATCAGATCCTTCGTGAAAGGCCTTCCGCCAATCTTCAATGAGTGCAGGAAATGTGCAATTGTACAGATCGGTGTTCATAAGGGTGTTGGCTTCCCCTGAAGTAGACAAGGCCCAATATGTTAGTGGGGGCAGCACCACTCCAGCACAATCTTCAGCTGTTACTTCCACACACCTTGATACCATATAACCCCTTGGATGGTCATGTTGACAAAAGGGTGAACCATTGCATTCCAAAGCACTGATACTTCTCTGGGACCAGCATCAAGGTATGAGGGAGGATTTCTGTAACACAGCAGGAAAAAGAATGAGTAAGGAGTTCGCACCATGCAGATTTCTAAGGATCAGAAACTTTCTTTGTAAAAATGAGAGCTTGTGTCAGAACCTGCATCACCCTACTATTGTCGTTTTACATTGTATTGCATTCGATGGGGTTGGATTGATTTGGCTCTGCCAATTGTAACTAAGGGGGGGGGTTGCAGTTAAAGGTTCTAACAGGAGTAGTGACGGGTGGTGGGACGGTGCTTAACCATATATGGGCAATTGAGACTGGCCTGATTGCTGGCAAGGCAGCTGGGGCCCAAAGAGCCAGGAAGGAGCTCGGGTAGGAGGGG